CTTCTCAAACATGAATTACTAACAACCCAATCTAAATAAATGCTACTACTCTTTCGTGGTACATTACAACTCATTATTCATGATATAGAATGTTGTCATATTTTTCTTATGGGCAAGCTAATCCGAACCCAACTCAAAAAAAATAGGGTTTGGGTTGAGATTTTTAATATTTGTGTTATGCTTGTATTGAAAAATATCAACCCGAATTAAATTCGACCAATACTTAGGTTGAGATCTCGAGTTACCGGGTTCAATTGAAATATTAAATTAGGTTCAACCCGAATATTATGATTAAATATTGAGTTCAATAGGTTTTTTTTTTATGTTAATTTGGCTATTATGTTAATTTAACTATTATATGTGTTTTTATGGCTGAGAAAAAGTGTAATTTGGTTTTGTCCAATATATTTTTGTATGCTTTATATACTATGGTCTTTATGTTAAACATTTGATTGAAGTTTTGGTTATTACTTCATGTGAATACTTTGTAGTATGTATTAAATTTAAAATAACAGTATGATTTCAAGTCTAAATAAACTCAACCCGAGAAATAAACCTGAATTCAACATGAGCTCATTCAAATTCAACTTGAGCAATACTCAGGTTGAATACCTCGGGTTAGAGTTGAAAATTTATAGCTAGGATTGACCTCTTAACTCGCCCCCTAATTTTTCTTCACTCATGGACACCAATGCGTCAATCCCACCAATGAGATTTTACAAATGCTAGGTGCAACAAATACTGGTTAACTTAAAATTTCAACAAGAAAATGTACGAAAATGGAATGAAAAAGATTTCTCATATAGTTTATGCTTTAGAAGCTACAAGTTACAGGCAAAACTATAGTTTTGCATCTATTCAATTGTTTCGTCGAGTTTAATTAGTCTTGAATTTTCACTATTAACATAATAATGTTTGTATTTTAACATGAATTTACACAACAAAAAACGAAAACTCACAATCCATATTGCAAAAAATAAGCAACAAAAACATAAAAAATAGCTTAAAATAGTTAACATGCAACACACATGTTCAATAACTAGTGACCATTAAATGTCATCATGATAATTTTTTTGCAAGATCATAATCAAATTATATATTAATAATTTTTTGTCCAAATTCATGAAATATTACATAATGGCATCAAATTTGAATTTGAATAATCAATCAAAAATTAATCCATATTTAATTAATTAAATTTAAATTCAAATTTGGATTAAAAGTTGATCAATTGGTATGTCATATGAATCATTTAAAACACTTCTCAAGAGGTGAAGATGATTTTGTTGTCAATGGGGTTCATGTTCTTGAAAATTTTGATAGTCACGTATCCCATCTCATATTAAAAACTATGCTACAAGGAAGGGGTTAGGTGAAATTCTAGATAACACAGGGGTGTCCGCGAGAATATAGTATTATGCAGAGAACGTTGATTAAATTTTTGTATATTTAAAATATGTCATTGATAATTTGATAAAATAAAATTTTTTTTTATCAACTTTATTAATCAACACGCACTTACATGGAGTGTTGGTGAAGTTTTCAGATAATGCAGAGGGTGGTCCCTAAATTTTTTAGTTACGTGCTCTGTTTTATGGTTGGTTTTTATCAAGTCTAATCCTTAGCTTTCATCCAAATAATTGATGAGAGTGGAAATTTGACGGTCATCATTGAAGTATTCAATGTGCCTTCTTATAAACTATTTCAGTGAGAGTTGGTGGTTGAACTATTTAAAATTAAGTTAAAAATTTAGAGACCCAAGTATGTATAAGGATCAAAATTTTATTTCGGTCACCTAGAGAACATAAACGTTTTGATGTATTTTGAAAACTTTTCGATTAGTTTCGAAATATAATGAAAAAAAATAAAAAAATTAAGAATTATTTTTTTAAAACATTGATTGAAATATATTAAAATATCTTAAAATATCTCAAAACATTCTAAAATAATTGTACAAATGCATTAAAATATTACAAAACATCTCGAAACATAATGAAATATCTCGAAATATTAGAATTTCGTTTTCATTACTGATTCGTTTCGATCTCCTTAAAAACATAAACATTTTAGATGTTTCAACCGTTTTCGAAACGAAATTTTGATACTTGAATATGACTCAAGGGGCGTATTATAATTGTTAACATAACTAAAAATAGAATAATTAATAGTGCGTTTGGTAATGTTTTTATTTTTATATTTTTTTATAAAAAAATAGAACTAATTTTTATTTTTTTGGTGATAAAAATAAAAAATATAAAACATATTTAATAATCATTTAGTCATTTACATTTAAAAAATTATAAAAACAAAAATAAAAAATATGTTTGGTATTATATATTTTAGCTCATATTTTATTGATATTAGTTTGGTTAATATTTTAATTATAAATACCTCAATTGGTGATCTCTCAATTAGAGATGTTCCTTGTGATCAAGTAAAACTTGGAGATGTCAACAAGAACACAAACTCACATGCGAGATCCTCTAGCTGAAACACACAAATACACATAGACATACATATACATATGCACACATAGATTTATATAGACACACACACACATATATATAGACACACAGATCTATATATACAACACACACACACACGTATAGATGCGCGCACACACACATGTAGATCTATGCCTCTCTCTCTCTCTCTATATATATATATATATATATATATATATATATAAATATGATGATGTACAAATTGAGTTTTTACACCACCTATCATATGAGCAGTAATAAATGCAGTAATTAATAAGTGAGAGATGGAGAAGACAAGATTTATAGTGTTTCGGTCAACGTGACTTACGTCCACTTTAAATGACTACGGTCGTTGAATATTTTGTTACTTCAAGTGTGTAGAGAGAGCAGAAAATTACAAGCTTTGAGAGGGAGAGGAGAGTTGTGCTCAATAGAGTGTGATGTCCCCCAAGTGTTGGCAGAGGTTAAAATTTATAGTTGCCTCCTAATAGATTGAGGCGATTTAATAGTAACTAAATAGTTAATCTGGTGAAGTTGACGACTTCTTCTCAACAGGCAAGATAGTTACAGTGCTCTCCATGAGATTTAGTCAAAGGATGAGGCGAGGATTGACTCTTTCCAAGGTACTCTTGGAAGACCCAACATGCTCCTTGCTGATGTAGCTCCTCGAATATGATGAGTTTGACCGAACGTGGACCACTTTGGGTTAAATTTGCTAGATCTCTTGGAATTGGACAGTTAATTCAGACTGGACTTATAATATGAGTTGGGACCTTAGGCTTGAACCATCAATATCTATGTATATATGGTATAAAATTAAGAAAAAATGGGAAAACGAGCGAGAGAGATGATGTAGATTTCGTCTTTGACCTCGATTTCAAAAGAGAGAAACTAGAGAGAGAGAGAGGAACAAGAGAGAGGCCCAAAAAAAAAACGAAAATACCTTTTTGTAATTGGCAAAAAAAATAAAAGCGTCATTTTGCTGCTAATGAGATTTGAAAGTTGAATCTCATTAATTGTTATTAGGATACTGGCGTGTTTTTAGTTTTGGATATTTTCAAAAACATCATTTTTGGTATTTGCAGATTTGGACCTTGTTTTCAAAACAATGTAGCTTAAAAAAAACAAAAACACTTCACAAACACATTTTTATTTTCAGCAAAAAATGAAAATAAAAACGAAAAGAAACATAAACACACATTACCAAACGGCACCTACATCCACACCTTCCAGAATAAACAAGAATTCATTATTTTTGCCATGGAATTCGTGGCTTTCTGAACATACTTTCCACCAGCAGATTTTTGAGAAGCCTCCCCATGTCCTTTAACGGAGTCCTGCAACGTTGCACTGTTTTTACAGTATAAGACAAATGATGACATATGCACACGATACCAACATCTCCCGTGTCACTGCTAGGTGCCCACAATTTGTTGGGTCTGTTTCCTTTTACGGGTCAGCAGACTCGGCACATAAGAAAATTCCAAGGGAAGTCTTTGATGACAACTTTGTCGCGAAATTGCATGTTAACACTTGGCTTATTGATTGTGGCGTCCTGTAAACTGCAAAGAATATATTCATAGTTGCCACTCCAATTAAATCTGGAGGGACAAGAAATAGATTATCTCAATTAGAGTTTAGACAACAGAGATTACAGAGAACTGTAAGTGGGCTTTCAGTCTCCCATCTTTTGCAGCAGTAGTGTGTTTTGGGGTTAGGGGGCAGCAGTTTGCAAAATCTTTTTGTACATCTTCATTTACTATCGAAAGTGGCACAAGAAGCATATATAAGATGATTGCACAGAAATACAATGCCGCCATCTTACATCTTTCTTCAATACATTGTAGTTACACTATCATGTCATTGTTAATCAGAACAATATTGTTGTAGAACAATATTGTTGCAGAAAATGAAAAAGTACCCTTCAATGAATACATCATGCCATGGGTCACATTTAATCAAGCAAAAGTGCTTATAAAATACTTAAAAAGTATTAAAATCTGACTAGGAAAGTCATTTGGTACAATGCCCCCACCCCAATCACAATGTAAAAGGCCGGCCTCTTCTTGATATGCATCAACAAATCTCAACCACAAATACTTGGTAAATTGCCAATGCTGAAGTCTTCAAGAAGATGGAAGGAATCTAAAAAAGTGATGCTAGAGATAGTGTACCTTATAATATGAGTTCTCAAGCAGACCATTTGATGGCGAAGCAGTCTGGATTCTCAACTGGAAATTACCTCAAGAACCACCTTTAAGTTTCAAAGAAATTTCCACAATCTAGATATTTGCGAAATTAACGGGAAGTTTCATAAACATTAGAACAAATTTGATTTATGCTCTCTTACCAGATGAATAGTAGGAAAAGAGAATCGATTCCTAAGAAACCTGAATCTTTATCCATTTCATATGGCATGCTGGCCTTCTAATACGATCCTACCAGTTCATAGGGTGCTATTTGAAATTCTTTCCATAGATTTTGGGTTTTAGGTTAGATTCGTTTTTCAGACTAGATTTAGCATGGAATCAACTCTGAACTTGACATTGCCATAGTCTCTTCATTTTTAGGAGTTAGGATTGATGAACCGAAATGATCCGTCTTCTCTGACAAATTCTGAAGTGCATCGTGCTTATTAGCCAATTCCATGAGCACCTTGATTCTTCTAAATGATACATTGCTTGGCCTATGCCCCTTCTCTATCATCTGCAGGAAACACCTCTCTGCTTCGGCCAACTTTCCCATATCACAAAGCAAACCAAACAACACATCAGACACCAAAATATATGATCCAAACCCCTTCTCCACCATATCATTCCAAATCTCAAGCGCCAACTCCACTTTTTCCTGCCTCCTAATCAACCTTATCAGAAACATGCAAGACTGTGTGTTTGGCAAACACCCAGTTTCCCTCATCCTCTGATACAAACTCCACGAGCTTCTCAAATCATTGCACCAATAAAATGACCTAAAGAACACATTATAAGTAGTTGCATTTGGGCTCAAAACCATGCCTACCATTTCATCCATCAGCTTGTAAGCGTCACCAAGCCTCTTTGCAATGCAAAAATTCCTAATAGCAGCATTATATGCTGCAACATCTGGATAACACCCATATTCCTTCATCTCCTTTAAAACCTCTCTAGCTTTATCTGGCTGCCCGACCAACCCCAATCCCACAATGATACTCGTATATGAAATCACATCCGGCGATATTTCCTCCTCCTTCATTTTCTCAACTACTTTATAGGCCTTATCAACCTCTCTACCCTTACAGTACACATCAATCAAACAATTGTACGAGACAATATCTGGTTTGATACCCATTTGCCTCATCTCCTCAAAAAACCCATCAGCTTCCTCACTTGACTTCCACCCAGATAACAGTATGTTAAAAGTTTGCAAATCAGGCCTAAACTCAGGCTTCAGACTATGATAAACATTCCTGGCATCTCTCATACTCTTTTCTTGACACAATGTCCTCAACAATGCATTATAACAAGTAGTATCAAACTCCAGAACAAGCCTTTTAAAGCGTCTAAACGATTCCACAGTCTGTCTCACCGAACAAACCTTAGCAATTCTACCTAGAACTACCATAACCGTTCTGGTTGATATCAAAGACCGATCTTTTCTTTTCGTTTCCAATAAAACCTCCCATATGAGATCAAATTTACGATTTCTACCCAAAATATACAGCATTGTGTCCAAAGAAAACGGAGTGTGGTAAAACCCTCTTCGTTTCGATGTTAGATTGAAGAATTCCAGTGCTCGTAATGGGTTTGAGTGACTAAATCTTACCCTTTTCAAGACTTTGTCTATCAAGTCATTTGAAAGAAAGACTCCACTTGATTTTAGTGATTGCGTCAAGTCTTTTGAGGTTGAACTGGTGCTTACAATGCGAAACACAGTTTCAACGTCTTGGTCTTGGGGTGAGGATTGGGAAGTGAATGGTCGAGAGTGAAGTGGAGTTGGGTTTGGTAGATTAAAATAGAGAGGGGGTGAAGAAACACACCTTATTGTTGAAGAGTGAAGAGAGAGAAATTTACGAATCAGAGTCACCATTGTTATACTCGAATAGTTGGACTTCCAGATGATTTTCAGAATCAGCGAGAGTGATCTGCAGATCGCCGGAGGAGGTTAGGTTTGGGCGTAATCAGTAGACGACGTCGTTTTCTGCAATTTCAAGTTTT